ATGAATGACATGGTTCAAATATTGTGGAATTTATCGTTTAATGCTCAAACGTTTTAACACCCACTTGTTGAGATTAGGTTGCTGTTGTATGATAATACCCATGATTGCGGTGGTGATCGTGGTTGATGGCCACTTGATCTAATTTCTTGCTTTCTCTTCTTTTGTATTGAAAGAGGGGGAAATTATCCATTAAGCATTAAAATGATATTTTTGCCATCCTTCTTATTCGTGGGAAGCAAAGAAAGAAGAGAAGGTTTTCGTTTCTCCATGTTTGAGAGATGCTAAAGTTTACATTATTCGAATTATTATAACAATAATAATATCACTCAATCAGTAATCATTAACAAATTTAAATAATAATCCTAAAATTAATTGGAAATATGTAGTTTCATCGTCTATGGCACCAAGATTTATCCAAGCCCAATGAAAGGCCCATATTGAGCGTTTTAAAGCTTCGTGAGTTGCATATCATTGGGCTTTCTATACCATCTGTCCTCGAGCGTGCGAAAAAGAAGAGATCCACCTGGTGTCTTTAATGCTCTTTTTTGCATCTTCTGCAGGTTGTTTTTCTTGGCTCTTGTCACTTCCACAGGGTACAAACTACAACTGTTTACCTATGAAGTGACATCTGCGTAATAAGGTGTTGGTTGACGAACAGAGATTCTCGGCTGATTTAAGCTAAAAATGAAATGAAATACATAAAACGTGTGGCAGTAACCTTGAAAGATCTGGGGAAATCCAAGTATTGGATGCTAAAAGATGAATTCGTGAGTGATTTTTGGCTCATCATACAGAAAGGACAAGCATGCCTTTCTGTTACAGAGGCATGTTTTGATATATCATTATCTGTTGAAAAGAGAAGCTGTCAAAAACTAGTCCAGCATGCAAATCTAGGAAGAAACCAGACAAAGTGGTATTGAAGTTTCATTGTTTTACTTAATTCACTAGAGGGGGCAAAAGGTAACAAAACAAGGCCAGAAATGCTGTATGTGTTAACCTTGACGTCGAGCAATACTAGAAGACAAATCCGAGAAAACAGTGTTGTCTTTTTCATTGTCCATTTCCCACAACATTAATGACATTTGCCTAAGTTGAATACAGAGGCTGTGTTGATAATAATAGTTTGATGCAGGTTATGAATACCACTCAATGGAGATGCAGCTTTTGAGTTGGAATTCATTGGATAACAAACCCTACAGGTAATAAGCTTGGATATTCCAATTGTTAGTTTATATTACCAAAACAACATTATCCATTTTTCCCTCTGTTCATATACTTACAAATGCATGTTTTTTAAAGAAAAAAAATTGTAGAATGCATCGGAATTAATTAAAAATTATAATTTTTGGAATGTTAACATTATCCAATGTCGTGTCGTTTACACTACTCACATTCCTAGAAAAAAAATATTACGAGAAAAGAAAAAGAAATGAAGTAGGGTTTTGCCCTAGACAAAGAGAGATATTGTGGATGGTTATTTGGGGGGATTAGTAGAGGGTAAGCATATCACGTTGTTGAAAAAAATGTTAAATTAATAGACTTAACCTCTCTTATCGACAGGTTCATCAAGTTATTTTCAACATGATGACCCAACTTTCGGAATATGAATTAATTAGGAGTTAAAAAATCCAACTTTACAAATATGTTGAATCTCTTTAATCCACAAGGATAACATTTGCTACCTGTATCTGTTGAATTATTGAAATGCCCTTCCGATCACGTGGCTTTTGGTCACCTGAAAGGGACACAACCGAGAGATCAACTAAGGGGCCACCGCTTGTTTCCCCCACCGTATTATAATGTCCCTTTCCCTTGGCTTGTAAGGATTGTTTGGTCATTTTCCACCACTGAAAGCAAGTTCGCTTTTGTTTCATCTTGGTCCTTTATTTCTGACGTTTTTTTTTGCTCCACAGATTGAAAGTAGAGTTCCACGACCCGTTTCGGGAAATGCTCTGATTCGCACTTGATCTGACCCGGCCACGAGATCCAACTTTTTTTTTATAGCATTTTTTGTTAAGTTGCAGTCGCAGTCCTTCCTTGTTTTCAATTGAGTAACTTCGTCTAATTTTGTATGATAATTTTTTAATTTAACCCTTCCAATTCATGTTGCTTTCAATTAAGTCATCAACATGATTACTTATTATTATATTATTATTATTAGTTGTTGTTGCTATTATTATTGTTAACATATATTTTCTGTTTAAGGTTTCATTATCGTAAAAAGAAACGTGCATATTTATTTAAATGAACCATATTTTAATTTTAAATTTGAATTTTTATTTTTTTCGAATGAGATACCACAATTTTTTAATAAAAATTATTAATTTTAGGCATCGTGAGATTATTTTAATTTTCCTCACATGTACTCGATTTCAACAATTGCATATATTTTTTTAAATTCTCTTCACTTGACACCAATAGTTACCCCTTGTAACATGTAACATGCTATAAGTGTCGGGAAAATATAATATCAAAATGTATATATAATTGATCAAAATTCATATATAACACGTTACATAGTTATTTTTTAAAAAATACTAAAATTTCATTCTAACTAATTCCAACAGTTGCCTCATATAATATATATTATGTCATAGGTGTTAGTGGGGTGAGCAAAACTTGACTCAACTCGAAAAATTGATTTTTTTGACTCGTCGCGAATTGACTTCGAGTTGTAATTTTATAAACTCGGCTCGATTAAAAAAATTAAGTTCAAATTGAGTTGTAAAATACAATTAGAATAACTCTAATTTTTTAGTAATTAGTAGATTGATTTTCAAGTTTGAGACTTTGTATAGTATATGTAAATCACATATGAAAAAAATACGAAAAAAATATATGTATTGTATATTATTATAAAATATCATTTATATTAAAATAAATTAATGTCATAATAGTGTAAAAATTTACAATTGAATTTAAATAAAAACTCGAAAATTTCACTAGACTCGAATTTTATAAACTCGAATCGAAAAAATTTCAAGTAAACTCTGAGTTATAAAATATGTCTCGTCAACTCGAATAACTCGAGAATTTTTGACACGAATCGACTCGATTGAACGCTCACCCCTAGATGTCAGGAAAACATAGTACCAAATTTCTTTCAATGTATGCATAAAAAAGGTTATTTATTTAATAAATATCTAATACAAGAATGAAGATGAAAGTTTAACTAGAAATAAATGAAGATCATAGTGACAAAAGAAATAGAAACATTATAAAATTAAAATTATTAGTATATCTATAAATAACAATAAATAAAGATGATTTAATTTTGGCGTATAACATAGAGGAGACCAAAGATTACTAGTTGATGAAATTAAACGATGTAGGGTTTAGAAAAGGTCAACAGCCGTAGCTCATATGTTGGGCGATTGCATCTACTACAAGTACAAAAACTGGTCTACGAGTACTGCCAAATTTTGTATACTCTACATTAATGCCACAACTACAGAACCATTATGATGAAACAAAAATACATACAAAACCAACACATGGAACAATCCCATCTTTCATTCCCTCTAGATTTTCATAACATAAATTATAGACATTCAAAAGAGCTTCTCATTTGTCCAAATTTGGATGTATATATTCAATTCAATTACTAAATACTTTTATATTATTGTATTTATGTTTGTCCCAATAATTCATATATTGTATTTTGTTTTTATGTTTTTGATTGACATTTATATTTAAAATGTTATATATTATGATAAATCTACTATGTAAAATAATGTTTAAAATAATTTGTGTATAAAATAATACCTTATATTATTATTTTTATTAATATCAGAATAATATCTAAAGTTATCACGTCGATTTTCCTTTCTATTTTTTTTATTTGAGCTATTTATGTGTATTTCGGCAACATCAACCCAATAATCTAAGCTGGTAAATTATTTAGCCCAATAATGTGAATCGAAAATTATTTTGAGATCTACATCTTTTGTTATAGTTCACAAAATAATCGTCACGTCGGAGTGACGAGTTTTATAAAATATTTTAAAAAATTAAAACTCGTCACGTCGACGTGATAAGTTTTATACAAATTTATTTCATATCATATGACTAGTTATAATTTTTAATATATTTTATAAAACTGGTCACGCCGATGTAATGAGTTGCACAAACACTGTAACAAATGTTATAGATCCCAAAATAATTTTCAATCGTCTTATTGAACTAAAATTTACCCGCTTGAATTATTAGGCTGATTTTACTGTACATTTCATATCTTTCTCTAATAAGATGATGATATATGTTACTATTCTATCCTACTAATAGAATTATCATCTATGTTCTTAATATTTTTAGTTTGAACTTGTTATGTGCATTTTATATATTTTTTTAATTCTTCTAATAAAATAATGACATTTGTCATCACAATAATAGAATAATCATTTATGTTATCACATTATTAAAATTATAATTCAAGAATTGCCCATCTAGCTCAGTTGGTAGAGCGCAAGGCTTTTAATCTTGTGGTCGTGGGATCGAGTCCCACTGAGGTTAATTCATAACGGAGGTCTTCCACGGAAGCTGCTCTCAACCTGGCGTTGAGGGTAGCCTACTACCCTACTTCCCCCTTATCCTATTACATATGAGAATATGCAGTTAATTTTAAAATTATAACTTAGTAGTAGAAATATTTAAATGAAATATAATCAGTATACATTTAAAAAAAATAATTTCTTAAATATCCTAAGGTTACAACACTGTAGAGTTTATTGTAAATCTCAAATTAAATTTTCTAAAATCCTAATTTCCCCAATTCCTTTTTGGCGCCAATATTATTTTCCTACATTTGCCAGTGTTCAGTGATATAAATATTAAAAATGAATACAATTAATATATTAAAAAACATATTTTTAAAAAAATCTAAATTTAAAAATGAATGAAACCTTTTTGTAATTCTGAAAAATCTTTATTTTCTTCTTCAAAAGAACTAATTTACCCACGACCAAACAAATAAAATCACACTTCTCCTCATCGTCTTTCCCTTCCCTCCATTTTCTCCCAAATCCATTTCGGGAAAAGAAAAGAAGCAACAATGAGGTGGCTCCTCCTCATCCTCCTCACCCTTCTTCTCCGACACATTTCCCGTTCCTTCGCCGGACGAGCTGTCTCGGAGTTTCAGGCGCTCCTGACTGTTAAATCCTCTATTACCGACGACCCTCAATCTTTTCTCTCTAATTGGAATGAAACTACTCCGCTTTGCTCATTCACCGGCGTTACGTGCGACTTCTTCGGTCTTCATGTTATAGCTATCGACCTAAGTTACTTAAACTTGTCTGGAACTCTTTCTCCGTCGCTTTCCCGCCTCCGTTTCCTCCAAAACTTTTCTGCCGCCGCCAACCAACTTTCCGGTCCGATTCCGACGGAAATGTCTGCCCTATCCGCTCTTCGTTATCTCAACCTTTCCAACAATATTTTCAATGGTTCTTTCCCCACCCAACTTTCCCAACTCAAAAGCCTCGAAGTCCTCGATTTGTACAACAACAACATGACGGGAGACTTGCCGGTTTTCGTCACGGAACTACCTAATTTGCGCCACTTGCATTTGGGGGGAAACTTTTTCAGCGGTCAGATCCCGTCGAGTTACGGCCGTTGGGAGCATCTTGAATATTTAGCTGTTTCTGGTAACGAACTCGGCGGTAGAATCCCACCGGACATCGGTAACTTAAAAAAGTTGCAGCAGTTGTACATAGGCTACTACAACACTTTTGAAGGTGGTTTGCCGCCAGAGATTGGAAACTTGTTGGAACTTGTTCGTTTCGATGCTGCTAACTGCATGTTATCCGGCGAAATACCACCGGAAATTGGCAAGTTGCAGAAGCTCGATACGTTGTTTCTCCAAGTCAACGCACTCTCTGGTTCCTTGACTCCCGAGCTGGGAACCTTGAAAAGCTTGAAATCCATGGATTTATCGAACAATATGCTGGCCGGAGAGATTCCAGAGAGTTTCGCAGACCTCAAGAACTTGACTCTTCTTAATCTTTTCAGAAACAAACTTCACGGACAGATTCCTGAGTTCATAGGTGAATTGCCCGAGTTGGAGGTTTTACAGTTATGGGAAAATAACTTCACGGGAAGTATCCCTCAGAGGTTGGGAAGTAATAGAAAACTTCAGCTTCTCGACCTTTCCTCGAATAAGCTAACGGGGACTTTGCCGCCCGATATGTGTTCTGGCAACACTTTACATACGTTAATCACTTTGGGGAATTTCTTGTTTGGTTCAATCCCAGAATCGTTGGGAAAATGTGAGTCGCTCAGTCGGATTCGAATGGGAGAAAATTTCCTCAACGGATCAATCCCAAAAGGCCTATTTGGGTTACCTAAGCTTACTCAAGTTGAGCTGCAAGATAACTATTTAACCGGGGAGTTTCCAGTTACTGATTCTTCCATTTCGGTGAATCTTGGGCAAATTAGTTTATCAAACAATCAGCTTTCGGGGCCGTTACCAGCTAGTGTCGGTAACTTTTCTGGCGTTCAGAAGCTTCTTCTTGATGGAAACAAGTTTTCGGGTCGAATCCCAGCTGAGATTGGCAACATACAACAACTTTCAAAGATGGATTTTAGTAACAATAAGTTTTCAGGCCCAGTTGCTCCGGAAATTAGTAAGTGCAAGCTGTTAACGTTTGTTGATCTTAGCCGAAACGAGCTTTCCGGTGAGATTCCAACTGAAGTTACAGGTATGCGGATATTAAACTACCTGAATCTATCAAGAAATCATCTTATTGGTAGCATTCCTTCACCAATATCCACAATGCAAAGTTTAACTTCAGTTGATTTCTCATATAACAATCTTTCCGGTCTGGTTCCAAGCACTGGTCAGTTTAGCTACTTCAACTACACTTCATTTTTGGGAAACACTGGACTTTGTGGCCCTTATTTGGGGCCTTGTAAAGATGGGGTTGCTAAAGGAACCCATCAAGGTCATGTTAAAGGTGGACTCTCTGCTTCTTTGAAGCTTTTGCTTGTCATCGGGTTACTTGTCTGCTTGATATTGTTTGCAGTTGCGGCTATAATTAAAGCAAGATCCTTGAAAAAGGCAAGTGACTCTCGGGCTTGGAAGTTAACTGCTTTCCAACGCTTGGATTTTACATGTGATGATGTTTTGGACTGTCTGGAAGAAGATAACATTATTGGCAAAGGAGGTGCTGGGATTGTTTACAAGGGAGTTATGCCTAATGGTAATCAGGTTGCTGTTAAAAGGCTACCAGCAATGAGCCGAGGGTCTTCTCGTGATCATGGATTCAATGCTGAAATACAGACGCTGGGCAAGATCAGACACAGACACATCGTAAGATTGTTGGGTTTTTGCTCGAATCATGAGACAAATCTTTTGGTCTATGAGTACATGCCCAATGGAAGTTTGGGAGAAGCTCTTCATGGGAAGAAAGGGGGTCATTTGCATTGGGATACGAGATACAAGATTGCAGTTGAGGCTGCTAAGGGACTTTGCTACCTTCATCATGATTGTTCCCCTTTGATAGTTCATCGAGATGTGAAATCTAACAACATCTTACTTGACTCGGATTTTGAAGCACATGTTGCTGATTTTGGTCTTGCCAAATTCCTGCAAGATTCGGGCACATCTGAATGCATGTCTGCTATAGCTGGTTCATACGGATACATTGCTCCAGGTATACATCAACCTCTGTACTTAATGAACTATCATTTATTATTCCTGCAAGAATTTGATGTTTCTTGAACAAGCTTCTTTGACTCGTTATGATCCGGCTAATATCATGCATTTATTTAGCTACCTACAAGTTTCCTGTGTACTTTGATCTGTCTTGGTGAATCTTTTTAGTTAATGTTTTATTCATTTCAATCAGTATAGGTAATTTTGATTGTGCATCAACTTAGTTAAGTTTGATTCATTAAAGTTCATATTTTGACTTGTTTCTAAAATTGACTGAGAATTTCATTATCCTGTACCTTTTGCAGAGTATGCTTACACGCTGAAGGTGGATGAGAAGAGTGATGTGTATAGCTTTGGTGTAGTCCTTTTAGAACTTGTTAGTGGAAGAAAACCTGTAGGTGAATTCGGAGACGGTGTGGACATTGTTCAATGGGTTCGAAAAACAACAGATTCAAACAAGGAAGGAGTGCTCAAGATCCTCGACAGGAGACTCCCATCGGTTCCCCTCCATGAGGTGATGCACGTATTCTACGTCGCGATGCTCTGTGTCGAAGAACAGGCTGTAGAGAGGCCAACAATGAGGGAAGTGGTTCAGATTCTAACAGAAGCCCTGAAACCACCAAACTCAAAGCAAGGAGACTACACAATAACAGAGTCCTCGCGTTCACCAGCCTCAACTTTAGAGTCTCCTAATAATGTCACAACAAAGAACCCAACACCACAATCACCAACACCTGATCTTCTTAGCATATAAAGCACCTTTTTATTGTTCTGGATTGATTGGCTTGTGCTCTAAAGTCCATGAATTATGCTAGTTTACTACTTTGTGTTGTTTTAATTTTATCTTTTTTTTTTTTGGGGGGGGGGGGGGTTACCCTAACTTTAAGGTGTTCATTTTATGAATTTTCTTCATTTTATTGTACAGTAGGATTGGTGGGGGTATTTATTTCCTTGTAAAACTGTCTTCATCAAGATGTACTACTGGCTGCTTATCTTTTTATTATTGCAGAGTTATTTGGGGATGAAGAGAAAAATATGATTAGGGTTCATAAATAGTAATCATAATTGATTTTTGAGAGGGCACGTAAACATAGATGAAGTGTGCAATAGGCTTTCTGAGTTGGTTTTCTGGGTGGAGAGGAAAGTCACTGAAAAACTGAGTTGGTTTTCTGAGTCTAATCTCGCCATTAATAGGGTTTTGCCTACTAGAGGGATCATAACTTTGAGGGTGTGTATGGTTCACAGAATGTAAGATTACTAATGGAATAAAATATTACCAGAAAATAAGATTACTAAGAATGTTACATTACTGTGTTTGGTTGGTTTGGCAGGAATGTAAGATTACATTGTTTGGTTGAAAGAATAAAAGATTATTGAAATGTATATTTTACCAAATTGTCATTATTCTATATTTTTTAACAAGTGTAATTTTAAATATTTAAATAAAAATTATTTATATAAAAATTATTTATATAAAAATTTTATCTGTTGATAATATATTATTTGATTACTTGAGTATTTAAATATATCATGTATTATTTTAATTTTAATTAATATTAAATTTTACATACTTTATGTAAAAATATATTAAAATTTTACATCAACATTTTACTAAATGTTTACATTGTGGAAATTAGCTTTGGTTCATACGTGACGTATTCACTAGGAGGTTTCTTGTATTTTTCAATCGACAATGTTTACATTCTTCTATATACAATAATTTATCATATATATTCATAATAATAAAAAGTTATAAATTATTTTTGTTATCTAAGATATAATATTTATTATATCTTCTATATACAATAATTTATTTCTTTATCTTTTATATTTATACTTAATTCTACATACTTTATCATTATTATTTATCCCATGAATTTATATTACGATCTTTCATGCAAAATCAAAACCTTTGCAAGCATACAAGGAGGCATTTCACCATCCATTACAAATCTCAAAGTTGGTGGAACCCATCCAATCCAACCTTGCAATAGGTTGCAGTGAAATATTGTTTCCCCCTAATTATAACTAAAATCTTGTTTGTTTGTATCAACTGTTTTGAATCAGACATAAAATGTTTCATCAAACCGAACAGAAACTAATAAAACTTATGTCAATTGTGATAGACAATGAATTTTCTAAAAAGACATCTTGCGGTTCTCACTTCTATAGAAAGATCCAGCTCTGACAATGCTTCTCGAACCCTTCTGCAAAAGGGGCATTCTTCTGTTTACAAAAATCAGATATTTAATAAAGTGAAAACCTTCAATTTCAAAAAATGCCAATTGAAGTAAGCAATTCATTCAAACTTGTCCCATTGGCAACTTACAATTTGTATACCCATTGGCAATTAACAATTTAGTTGACAAAACTCTGACAGAAAAACCTCTTAATGATGAAAGTGAATATGTAACATTTTGAAACAATGAATCAACACTAAATGCAACCAAAACTTAGGGAATTGCAACTGCAATCTGCTATGTTTTATGCATAATGTATACGAACTTTATTTGATTAACAATTTGGTTCATATGAAAGTATAATTTCTGCATGAATCAAGTGTAGGATGAGGTAAGATCATACACAGTATCACAAGTTTAACATGCATAATGAACAAACTTTGGTAGTTGAAAATTCATGATCATGTAATTCAGTAAGGCAAAGTATAATGTAGGAGTTGGAAGGTTGTGAGATATTTAGTGCACAATTGTCATCACTATGCAGAAGGACATCCAGTCTATTCTGTACCAATAGACAACCACAATATAAGATGAGAAAGCACAAAATGTATGTGTCTGTATGTGAGTATGTATGTATATTGAAGTAATGTGGCTTTTTTGTCTAAGGCACTGCTAAAACAATAACAAACTGAGTTGAGAATTTTACATATAATCATGTAAGCATAATCATAGATGAATTTATCTTAGACAATGTATACATGGAAATGAAAATCCTATCATGATGTATATATTGAGGCATCGTAAATGGGAAGACTTGAAATTCATTTACTCTTTTTCTAACAAACTAGATCTATTCAACTTCTACCTTATTATCCTTTTCTATGATACTACAGCCGCGAGAACAATCTTCCGTTGTACTGAAGAGAATAACATAAACGAGGAAACTAAGGGGTTCATTTACAAATCTACCAAATGATATATAACCACAATGCACAGATTCTGCCTGTCCAGTTCAAAAATGATGGAGTTAAATACATTAAATTGATGAAAATCACCAGCTGAAATATAAAGTAAATTGAATTATCAGAGCCAATTCACTTATAGGAAACTCATGAAAGAGTATCAGGGCTTGAAATGCAAGTGGGACTTGGGAAGAACTTGGGATACTGTAAGCTACTACAGTTAATGTCAGTCTTCTATAGACTGTCAACATTTCAGAAATAATATAGTAGAACTTTCTAATGGCACAAAACTGGTGCCATAGCCAATTTGACATATAAAACAGAATTAACAGATATAATAGAAAAAAGTTATTTGTTAGTGTTGAAACTAGTGGTAAAATATATACAATGCCTTAAAGATAACAAGCAGTTCATAATCTAAATAGGCAACTTCATCTTCTCTACATTCTGCCTTTAGCTCCTCCAGGTTACTTCCCAATAAACTCAATATTCTTTTTTTTAATGAGCGTGGAGTTGAAAATTAATGTCTAGTACCCATAAGTTTAAATGGTAACTATGAAATAATGTTACCCCTATAAACGAGAAAACCAATATGTTGTGTGTATGCCATACTCAACATAGAATCCAGGTAACATAGAAGATAATAATTCTAGTCATAAAACAACCTAAATTAATTACTTGAACTATTCATTTTTTTTATCTAAACTATCTATATTTAGAGATCAATCGTCAATACAGGTAAAAACTAATTTAAAAAAGGAAACATACTTGTGTTGGACTCATATCTTATCCAACACTCAACCTAGTGTTCAAGTACCATGTAGAATAACAATTCTGATCATAAGACAACCTACATTACTCGTATTCTTTATTTTTATTTTTGAAATCATCCATATTGAACACTTATAACTATACATATTAGAACATAGCAACTATGGTGCCAAGGCAGATCGATTGACGATTTGCTACATGGAAAGAATTTATAGCGATTTACCATTTCATACAATAACTTATAGTTGTAAAATAAAACTAGTAGTAGCCGGCCTTGACTCCAAATCATAAAACAAAAACGCTAGAAACTTATTGAACCAAACAGATAATGAAATGATCTCAAAAACAGAGGAAGGCGTTCAGTAAATCTTGTGAACATTTTTATACATCAAATTAATGTTGAAAAAAGGAAATGATGATCATCACCAAACTACAACAAATCAACCAATGGACTAACAGAAACTCCAAATAACAAGTAAAACTGGTTTAAGAAGCTTAAACTTCAATCATCAAATGAAAAACCAGATACAACATTTCTTATGTAGAAAATATATTGAGAGAGAGATGATACAAAAGAAAATACCAGTAAACTAAAGCTGAAAGGCTCTTCAATCTCTCAGGCCATTTGCAACAAAAATAAGCTCGAAACAGAAAATACTTCAAAAGTCAAGATTCACGCCGACATGCTTAACTCTTATCAAACGAATCAAATTCACAAACATTGTTTATTTTCATTTAAAATAACAGTTTAATCATGTGGCGGTTTGCTCGTCTTTCTTGTCTTGATCGCATTAGATCACCGCAGTTTACAATCGACGGCTCTGAACAAACTCCAAAACCTTAAAAAACGGATGAAATTTTCACAGAGGAAAATAAAAAACAAAAAAATAAATAAATAACGGATGAAATTTTCACAGAAGAAAATATTCAAGAGGTTTTCGTTAACATAAACAAAACCACAAAATATGAAAATCAAGTAACATTACTGGTAAAATAAAAGAAAAGGAGTGGAGGAGAAATCTTACCAGGAAAATTTTACTGGAAAAAACTGAATTTTTTTGCCTGGACAGAAGCGAGGTCACAGGGAAAAGAAGAGAAAGGGTATTTTAGCCCAAACGCCCAGGAGTAAACAAAACCTATGGAATATGTGGGAATGACATTCCCAGTAATGAGGTTAAAAAAATTACTGTTGGCAATGAGATAATACCCTCAAGTGGGAATCTTTCCCATCCAAATGTGGGTATTACAATCTGGGAAAAAATATTCCTACCAATAATCTTCTAATCCATGATCCAAACGCCCCCTTAGGGTTTTTACTGTTTCATCCGTTTTTGGTTTCGGGGGCAAATGGTGGCCTATCGAGTTGGACCCAATTTGTGTCTTCTGCCACATGCCATGCAACTTCATTTCACATGCAACGCATACTTATTTTAGTGACATGTGCTACGTAATATCATCCATTTATGATATGATTAATTATTTTATCATTTTTATATAAAAAAAATTTAGTTAAATAATTCTCATTGGATTATACTAATATAAAATCTTAAGTTTAAAATTAAAAGACAAATAAATATAAACAACAAAATAAAATGAAATATCAGAAGAAAGAAATACATCATTTTAAGTAAATAAATTATTTAAAATTGACATGTTATATATTTTATAACATAATTTGATATATATATATATATATATATATATATATTTAACAATAGATTATTTTTTATAGGTACAAAATTGAATATAAAATATTATTTAATAGATATGGTAAAGCTGATAATATTATAATTATAAATTTTATTATTATCTTGGATCATCAGTTTCTTTTATGTTATTATTATTTATCCAAAATATTTTTTACTAGTGCATAATAAATTATATATTTTCATATTTACCTCTATCTTATTAATTAATTACAAAAATATTATCTTACTATACTGTATATCATATTTTAAAGTTAATTTAATACTACATTATCAATAATTTATAATATTTATATTTGAAATAATAGAGACACACAATCTAATAATCTAAAGTTTGTAGGGTAATTTATAAAATTAATGTAATTTTAAACCCACGTGCTA